ACACACGCATCATTATTGGATTTACTTCGGCATGGGAGAAATAAACGTATTAGCTGAACTTTACTATTAGATGTTAATGTTATCTAAATACACCCACATCATTATTGGAATTACTTCAGCATGGGAGAAATAAACGTATTAGCTGAACTTTACTATTAGATGTTAATGTTATCTAAATACACCCACATCATTATTGGAATTACTTCAGCATGGGAGAAATAAACGTATTAGCTGAACTTTACTGTTAGATGTTAATGTTATCTAAATACACCCACATCATTATTGGAATTACTTCAGCATGGGAGAAATAAACGTATTAGCTGAACTTTACTATTAGATGTTAATGTTATCTAACTACACACACATCATTATTTGTTTATTTCTCCCATGCTGAAGTAATTCCAGTAAAGTTCAGCTAATACTATTAGATGTTAATGTTATCTAAATACACCCACAAAATCCAGATTTTTCATTTCACATTATTATTTTGGACATAAGCTCATGCACATTATCACTTCTTAGTTTCATAAGTTTGTTAGTGGTTGCATTTGCTATTGAAAGATTCACATAATAGCAAACAGCACCAATACCTTACTTCAGAGGCAGTCTTACTTTTTACAGTTTTCACTCATTGTAATTCTCAGTGGTAACAGGTTGGTCTTTGTGGGATAAATGCATCACTTGCGCTTACTTCATGTATTTTCATTAGTGCAAGATAGTAATATCTTCAATAAGTACAGTAATACACCTTTCAACTAGAAATCTGATTTAGCAGTCATGGCTATTCAAGCCTTTGCTTAATTGTAAAATAATGTGGCTGATTAAATAGGACCAGTTCATATGAAAATACATTAACTAAAATCTGTCACGATCTTACGTGTATATTATACTACAGTATACTGATAAATGTTAGATTACAGTATACACTATTATACTGATAAATGTTAGTACTGTAGTCTAACATGTACCAGTATACTAGAGTATGTACTGTAGTCTAACATGTACCAGTATACTAGAGTATGTACTGTACTCTAACATGTACCAGTATACTAGAGTATGTACTGTACTCTAACATGTACCAGTATACTAGAGTATATACTGTAGTCTAACATTTATCAGTATACTACAGAATACACTGTAGTCTAACATGTACCAGTATACTAGAGTATATACTGTAGTCTAACATGTACCAGTATACTAGAGTATATACTGTAGTCTAACATGTACCAGTATACTAGAGTATATACTGTAGTCTAACATTTATCAGTATACTACAGAATACACTGTAGTCTAACATGTACCAGTATACTAGAGTATATACTGTAGTCTAACATTTATCAGTATACTAACATTTACTAGTATAATAGTGTATACTGTAAACTAACATTTATCAGTATACTAACATTTACCAGTATAATAGTGTATACTGTAATCTAACATTTATCAGTATACATGTTAGACTACAGTGTATTCTCTAGTATACTGGTACATGTTAGACTACAGTGTATTCTCTAGTATACTGGTACATGTTAGACTACAGTGTATTCTCTAGTATACTGGTAAATGTTAGACTACAGTATAAACTCTAGTATACTGATAAATGACTACAGTGTATTATACTGGTAAATGTTAGACTACAGTGTATTCTCTAGTATACTGGTAATAAACTCTTTAGTGTACTATATGATACTGGTACCTAATGGATGTTTTATAGGCTTGTTAACTCAAGTTGTTTATATAACTAATTTGCATAAAAGTGACAGATTTTGTATTTTACAATTTCCCGACCATATTTGTTTTCAGTTCGTGTATTTGTATGGCATGTATTAGTTCTTAACCTGTAACTCCCTGTTTTTAATGAGTAAAATAATTGGCATCAAGTAGACATTCTGGACTATACGTATATATATTGTGTTTGTTTTCCAGGTAACGGGATGAAGTCTACACTGATGTTTCGTGACCAGGTGAACACCATATCCCAGTGGTGTGACCAGTGGAACGAGTGTGAGCAAACTGTTGCTTTGTACTCGTTGCTCAAGAAACTGAACCCAACTCAGGCCTACTTCCTTTCACTGGTTCTGGACCAGAGTTTGGATGGGTGTACCGATCTCAAGCTACAGAAGCAACAGGCCAATGACCCAGGTAAGTCCAACTTTGTCCTCCTTTTCGTAGTGAATGACCTGTGAACACAAATGACATACTTAAGAACATGTCATTTGTTGAAAAGAGATTTGATTTCCTAAAAGTTTTTATTCATAAAAATAATATTTTCCATGAGGCAGCTAAAGTTAAAGCATCTTAAGAATTATATTATTTGATTTATATTTGCTTGTGTTGCATTGATTAACATTAGCCTAAATTTATTGTTGGGATTCACATCATCGGGTTTTTAAATAATTTTTTGCAAAGAAATTCATATCAATATTGCTCTTAATTCTGCCGAGGTTTATTATACAGTATATGTAGAAGTGAGTGGTTTCACCCATATTTTAAGCCAGTTCTTGTAATATCCAGAACTCGCAGATGGTGTGCATTACAGAAACAAGTCGATACTTGTTATTTTGAAACAAGAGTGCTGAAAACCGCTCTAATTATAAGTAGTACCTTAAACAACCCCCCACCAGACCCCTTACGAAAAAATAATAATCCATATAAATATTGTATGCATTGAACACAAATTTAGTCTTCCGATTATGGGTCTGCATGGAAAATGATATCACTCAAAGATATCCAACAAGAACAGATCAGTGTGCAAGCAACACATCCTAATCAAATGAACTGCACACGAAACAAAGTCTACTTAGGAAGTGTCTTTAAACACGGTTACTAATTTGACCTTGTTATTTAAAATTCAAGCATACACATTTAGTTCCACCAAATTTCACGCTCTTTCGTGAGTTAAAAACAAACAATACAATAGTTGTCTGGCTTTAAAAAATAAACGCATATAATTAATATTAATTTCCAATCTGTATAGCTAATTAAGTATACTTTTCTTACGGTCTTTCTTTTATATATTAGAATTCATTGTTTCGTCAGTTGGTGCCCCCCAGTAGCACAGCGGTATGTCTGCAGACTTACAACGCTAGAATCCGGGTTTCGATACCCGTGGTGGGCAGAGCGCAGATAGCCCATTGTGTAGCTTTGTGCTTAACTTCAAAAAACAATTCATCAGTCGGAAACCCTCACTGAGCGATATATTTCAGGCTGTAAACCCAGTAATATTTCATGAGGCTCGGAAGATTTAGGTCACTCCTAAAGACACATATTAAGATAGCGATATAAAACGGTCTCTATAATAAAAATATTATGATGATGCATGAACTTTTCGGAAACGCATAGCAACAAAATACAGTTTGAAAAAAACAACTTAAAATCTGAATATACAAGCAGTCTAATTTCCGTGCATGTATTATTGTCTTTACAATACAGCATTTCCAGTTAGTGTCATTAAGTACCTGGTACTGCATTAAAAGAAATTACAAAATGAAAAAATATGAGCATTTCAAGCATTCTAACCCCCTGTTCTCCGACTGTATATCCACCAGTTTGGCCTGTGTATTTCCATTTTTTACTTTCAAAAGTTGACAGGTATGCTCTGTTATTAATTTAAAGTTATAGTTCATGCATTGGTTTTTGATTATCTCAATACTATTGTTTCTTTAACAGAAAATATAATTTTTTTCGATGTAACACTTGTACATAAGTATTTTGGGCTTCAATAAAGCACTAGTTTATTTGCGGATCATATTTCTGAACATATAATTAGAATCTTGGGGTTTAGTTTCTGTTCAGTTCAAGATAAAATAAAGTTTTGGGAGGAACAATTTGTATTTAACAGCTGTCGGGAACTAACTACCGGACTTGTTTCGTTTTACTCATTAGTATAGTTCTTGATGTAGATGACCACAAAGATAAGAGTTTTAACACGTATACTGCAGTATTAAGTTTGAGACAAAGTGTAGCTTCAATTTTAGAATATTAACGTGCATTAAACGTAGTTATACAATTTTTAAGATTACCATGAGAAATTTGCTTTTTTATTTTTTGTTAACTTTGGAGAAAAAAAAACATTTTAGGCATGCCTACCCCACCACCGCCAAATTTGTGTATTTCTACAAAGCTTTAATAGACAGTTGGCCAATACAGCCACAGAAGCACAACTAATTTAAAATTCATGATGTATTTGAAAAGTTTGTACAAATTCCTACCTCGGTGAGGTGACATAAGGTATCTGTAGCACTTGTTTCACATAATGTTGAATATGGTTGAACTAACAGTGAAACTCTGCACGTGAATGTGCGATGTTTACCTCAAAGCCCTAGTTTGTTGTTCATTTCAGTGAGCCTACGGATTTTTAATATCAGAACACCACCACTCATTCAAGACGACTGCCTTATTGGTTTCAAAATTACGCAAATAACTGTCTACTGGGAATGTGAAACACTTTCTATTGTTACTTAGACTAGTACTGCTTCGTTGTTTGCCTGAAAAAGAATGTAACTTCCTCTTCAGCAGATTCTCCAGAGCTATAGCGTGCATTAAAATTGGATAAAAACTTGAATATGTTGTTTTCTAAATAAGTTTACGTCATTACACATTCACCTTGCGTGTCAACAGAGGTTTGAATATGTTGTTTTCTAAATAAGTTTACGTCTTTACACATTCACCTTGCGTGTCAAGAGGTTTGAATATGTTGTTTTCTAAATAAGTTTACGTCTTTACACATTCACCTTGCGTGTCAAGAGGTTTGAATATGTTGTTTTCTAAATAAGTTTACGTCATTACACATTCACCTTGCGTGTCAACAGAGGTTTGAATATGTTGTTTTCTAAATAAGTTTACGTCTTTACACATTCACCTTGCTTGTCAACAGAGGTTTGGAGGATAACTCGCTATTATATAAGTTCACCTTTGGGGTTTAAGTTTGGTTCCTACCATCGATCTATAGAGAAGAGGTGACTTCAGCAGGTACAGTTCGAATCTGTAGTGTGTAGATCAAATATTTTTATAACTGTACCAACGCCGTGATCTCTCACGGAGAAGACCAGAGATAGTATAACCAAACCATCATAACATTTTTGAGTCCAAGAATTTTATTTTTCAGCGTTTATAAATAATTGTTGGTTTGGTCATTTTTAAGAAACTTAAGTTGTTCGTATTTCCTGTATATGTTTACGAAATAACCTGATTTTGATGGATTTTCTGAGTATTTCAATAACAATTAGGCTGTTTTTCGTGCAAGGTGAATTACATTTTCTTACACATGAGCATACATATGCTATTTTATCGTGTATAAACATCTTCCTCCCTTCACAGCGTAATGTGATCATTTTTTAAGATGGCAAGCTTCACGATAAGATTAACTTATATTAAAAATTGTTGTTTCATCTCGAGTTGTTATCGAAGGCTAGAGAACTGAGATGATATTAGAGGTGTTAGTACTTAATTAAGCAGTATTTATAAAGTGTATTTACTCGATTTTACCGTGCAGGTTGAAAGGTTTGTGTGCATTAAGGTGAACGACCCTACAATTTCTAGGTCTGACACTCTTTTGGGTTTATATCATATATCGATATTGCTAAGAAAGTAAACTCGTGGCTCGAATCAAGGCCGTTAGACCATAAAAGTAGGCCATTGAGTTCGTTGACTCAGATTAGGCTTAGTGCAGAAATTGTTGAATTTGACTAACGACCGTACAAGTATGTAACTTAACTGGTAAAGGTCGTTAGTTTTATTTGGCACACTTCGAAAATTGACGTGCGTGGTGGGAGAAATAAACCTAATAAAAGCTTGTGAGACATTATGAGTTTAAATGTGGTTCCTATATATGTATACGTGATTGTCATAGTCTTGGTGCTGATAGCTCCCACGTTGTACAAAAATGACCTAAATATTTGTGAACATTGCAGATGTTCTCTTCACTGATTTCGCATTATTTTTACAAGTTACATTAAAGCTGTGTGTTGAAAGCAATCTATGGGAGAACTTGTGTGATTCACTTTTTTTTTAATGCCAGATGTTTAGGGGTCAAGTTAAGTCACGTGATTACAGCGGCATCTACCAACTCTGACAGCTGCTGGTGTTAAATTACAGTGTTTTAGTAGCACATTTTGTTATCTTAGTTTGATTGGTTAGAGGTTTATTCGCAAAAGCCAATGACCTTAATATTTTATTATTGAAAAAAATAAGTATTGAGATCTACAAATTTTTCTTCTCTTAGTTTAGCCAAATTTTTGACAGTTATATTACAAGTTCACGAAATCTAGCAGTTCTAATTTTCTCTTTAATAATATAATATTGACATAACTTACCATCACTGCCGGCAGATCTAAGTTAGAATAAGGAACTGTAACGTTTGCAAGTCACGAGTGTATGTTACAGTTGTAATAAGTTGACTTTCCAACAAGTGTATCAGTTCTCTGTACTCTCTGTAGGGAAATGCTTGGAGTAAATAAAACAACAATATAAATGCAATAACCAGCACGTTAGGAATGCTTTTCAGCATTTGATTAAACATGTTCTTGCGTGAAACTGAAACAGTTTTAGGTTACTTTATTAAATGCGTTTTTCGTGACGATGAGCCTGATAACTTGGCTGTTTTTTAATTATATCTAGTTGTGATCCACCCCACACCAAATATATGTATGTTCATCGTAAAAAATTTCCCCCTTGGCTCAGCAATGACCTTGCACGTTTACAGTGCAGAAATTCGGAGCTCAATTCCAGCGATGTATACAACACAGACCGTTTTGCAACATTGTGTTTTTAATAAACAAACAATCCTGATAAAAGTATGAACTGATATCAGCCACGTGTGTTAGATACAAATTACTCTGTCCAGTTTGTTTTAAATAATGTACACTATCTGACGGTGTTTGTGTTATACAAGGACTTTTGTTCCACATATCGTTATTTTGTTTTAAATAATGTACACTATCTGATGGTGTTTGTGTTATAAAAGGACTTTTGTTCCGCATATCGTTATTTTGTTTTAAATAATGTACACTATCTGACGGTGTTTGTGTTATACAAGGACTTTTGTTCCGCATATCGTTTTATATGCAAGTTTTGTACACTCCCTATTGAAAACGCAAAAAAAATCGGTACTAGACATAACAGATAAAAGTCCATGAAACTTA